CATAATCTTGGTTTTTTTGATGTTTAGCTGCAACCCGGCTTACTAATAATATTACAATATATTGTATGTCTATATATCTTGTAAGCCGCTCTGAGTCCCCTTCGGGGTGAGAAGGGCGGCATAGAAATGTTGTAAATAAATAAATACATAAATAAATAAATCTATATAAATAAAACTGCAATGTTCATTTGTGGTATTCACAGAACTCAAAAACCGCTGGGATAATTGACACCAAATTTGGACACCAGACACCTAACGGCCCAATGTATGTCCTTCACTCAAAACATTGATTTTGTCATTTGGGAGTTGTAGTTGCTGGGGTTTATAGTTCACCTACAATCACAGAGCATTCTGAACTCAACCAATGATGGAGTTGAACCAAACTTGGCACACAGAACTCACATGACCAACAGAAAATACTGGAAGGGTTTGGTGGGCAGTGTCCTTTGGTTTTGGAGTTGTAGTTCACCTACATCCAGAGAGCGCTGTGGACTCAAACAATGATGGATCTGGACCAAACTTGACACAAATACTCAATAAGCCCAAATGTCAACACTGGTCAAGTTTGGGGAAAATAGAATCTTGACATTTGGGAGTTGCAGTTGCTGGGATTTAGAGTTCGTCTACAATCAAAGAGCATTCTGAACTCCACCAAGAATGGAATAGAATCAAACTGGGCACACAGAACTCCCATGACCAACAGAAAATACTGGAAGGGTTTGGTGGGCAGTGTCCTTTAGTTTTGGAGTTGTAGTTCACCTACATCCAGAGATCACTTTGGTCTCACACAATGGTGGATCTGGACCAAACTCTACACGAATACTCAATATGCCCAACTGTGAACACTGGTGGAGTTTGGAGAAAATAGAATCTTGACATTTGGGAGTTGTAGTTGCTGGGATTTATAGTTCACCTACAATCACAGAGCATTCCGAACCCCACCAACGACAGAATTGGGCCAAACCTCCCACACTGAACCCCCATGTGGGCCACAGCAACGCATGGCAGGGGGTGGCTAGTAAATAAATAAATAAGTAAGTAAACCAACATCCGGGAACGGGGCGGCCCCCAACCAGCTCAAGCCCCGCAGCTTCGCTCTGGCTGCTCACGGGCACCACCGTTTGCGCATGCGCCGCAGCCCTTGCTCCCTCCCTCCCTCCCTCGCTCGATCCTTCCCTGCGCATGCGCGCGAAGGCAGGCAGGCAGGCCAACAAGCAGTCAACCGTCGGGGTCCTCGGAGGGAGGGAAGGTTTCTGCGCATGCGCGTCAAGCGCGTTGGTGCTGGCGGAGAAGAGGTGAGTGGGGCTGGGCCGCGCCTCCGGGTTGGGCGGGAACGGGAGGCCGGGGACGCGGCCTGTTCCGGGCCCTGGCTTGGCCGGTCCGCTCCAGCGCCAGAGGGGTGCTTCCTTCGCCTTAGTTGGCGCATGCTGCCAGCTGCCCGCTCCGTCTGGGCTTCCGTGCTCGTGCCTCTTGGGTTGCCGACTGCGTTGCCCTGAGTGCCGACGTCGGTTCTCATTGAAGGCTTTCGTGGCCGGAATCGCTGGGCTGTTGTGGGTTTTTCCGGGCTATAGGGCCATGTTCTAGAGGCATTCTCTCCTGACGTTTCGCCTCCATCTATGGCAAGCTTCCTCA